TCGATTTTCACTGGAGTCCTGCGATAGACATACTCTGGTGTTCCTGTGTACACTAGAAGAAACGAGGTGTTCTCCGACCAGTCTTGTATCAATTACCCGACCAAGGACCGATGGAGGGCTTGGCGAGTCCAGCAGAGAGGTGAAACAGCACTATGCTCATGATGAGAAACGTCATTACAAATGCTCTACTCGCCCCCTTGAGAAAGCCTTGTAATAAGTGGAAAATAGCACACTGGTTTCTGCATCGTTTCCAACAAATAAACGAATGTCTAGGAGAGCGAAGAGCTGAACATTGCTATTCAAATGAAAGCAGCAGTAAAAATAAACGGCGTCGTTAACATGGCCGAGAAATAGCGATATAATAGCGTTTGGTAAGTTATCATGTTTTCCGATCTATTCCAATAAGAAAAAAAATTATACTTGATAATTTAAACTAGAGGGGTCTAATATGACGTCACTGGATCTACTAAAACCAGAAAAAAAGGTACTTCTGTCACTAGAGGATTTCGCACTTCTTACAATCATCAACACGATAGCAGAGGACTTAAGGTAGCCGCTATCCTCATCTACGCAATTTTTTTACCAGCAGAGATTGCCTCTGAGCTAATATTTGGTTGAGTCTGGCATATTAGATAAAACGGCGATATGAAGAACACGAAAGAAATCGATATTTTTTCCCTTTCTGTTTTGATAGCACGTTCTGATGTGTGAAGGAAATAAACTATGCAAACATTTAGGAAACGGAAAGATGGTTTCATAGGAAGATGTTAGTCACTGATGGAATTTGTTCACTTCTGTGCATAATTACATGAGGAATGACAACAGTGAAAAATCCAAGCGAACCATCAATTTGATATGGTGCGTTGCGTTTACTCGTACCTGGACGATTACACATATAAATCAACGACGCAATCCATCCATAATCTAAAATTATACCGATTCCATAGGATGCTATTTTGCCAAAGCGCTATTGATTTGGGTCTTGGAATAACACAGAACAAGCAAGATCAAGTTTCAGTAGAAAAAGTTGAGAAAACGTCACGTGAAATAAAGGCACAGTTGAATAACGATAATCTGTTTCTCTTAGAATTTTTAAATGTACTTTTCCAAAGTAAACTATCATGTAACCTAAGCAGTTAACAATTTCCGTGCAAGCGTGGAATCAAATTAAAAGGAAGGTTTCAATTTCGATGGACAGCAACGATGGAAGCGATAGCACTACCTCGCGTAACTCGGCCCGCATCCTGGAGATGAATTAGGTAGTAAAAGAATTGCTTAACGACTTGTTTTTAAACATCTAAAATTAAACTTTTTTTGTTTTGTTGTTTCGATTTTTCTATTATAACCCAAGAAATAAACATGAGACACCTGAAAAAATGGAGGAGTAGGACGAGTGTGGATAGATAGTTTGACACGAATGTTATCATCAATGTCGCTACTAGCAGTAATCCTGTTTCCGTTCAGTACGTTTACTCGGCAGGGTTCTGGGGTTTTTTTGCAAGAAGCTCATGAAAACTCTACAAAACGCCATTCCATAAGTTATAATTTTGAAACCGACCGTCGTTTAACCTCGGCAGTAAAATAACTCACTTGTTTAAATTGTTGAGTTTACACGAGGTTGATTAATTCTTCTATTCGGCTAATGTTTCGACGTCTTCGTCTTCATCAGAGGCGATGATCCGAGTCGATGCGCATGAGTTATACTCCTCCTGTTTTATAAACCTTCAGCATTTCCCAGATGATTGGGAAACTTATTTTCATAGACGGCTAAGTGTTTATTAGCAGAAAAGTTATCTATGAGAAATTTTGACAAGCTCCTAGGGAGAAGTGGAGCATGCCTCTTCCTAAGGACCTCTCTAACACTGAAAAAAAAGGAAGTCCGAAAACGTAGACGAAGAAGTGTAGAATATGAACAAAAACAAAGCATCCATGGATCAAAAGAAATCTGTGGACGTAAAATGCATGAAGACATGTAGCCTGATAGCGGCGTAATAGATTGCAATGTTGGTGTGGTTAGCAATCCTAATCGCTTTGTTTCATTACTTGCCTTCATAAGTTTTTTCATAGAGGCCTATTTAATCATAATTAATTGTGTTATTTTGTTTACGCAATTTCTGATGGACAACTTGCTTGCAGTTGAAGGAAAGCAACGCAATACGGTGAATCCCCATCTTTCATGGCAGTTTTCAGAGCTGAATCCGTCTTACTCCGGCGAACGTCCTCAGCACTCACCAAATAAGAAGGTCATAGTTCAAAAACGAATCCTGAAGAAAAGAAGAGATTTAGCCGTGCAAAGCGTTAAACTCTGGGAAAGCTTTCCAGATTGTTCTCATTTGTACTGGGAAATATATCCAGAATAAATTAATCTTCGAAGTTCAAATTATCGCGTAGAAATTTCTCAATCAGCCATGAAATGCATTACCGAAGAGGCTATGCTTCCCCATAGACTGCACTAATTTTCGGTTCTTTTTAAACAAATTTACCTTGATGTGGCAAATTTTCCATGTCTACAACACCATAGAGTTAAGGAACTGCTTAAATTGTCACCAAGATATGTGAAGTTAGTAAGCAGTCATGTGCAAGGTCTTTTTAAAGTGAAATTAGTAGAGGACTTTCAGATCACATGGAGCACTAATTCATGCGCTTATGCTCAAGCACAAGGCTGGAATGAGCGTAGTTATTTCATGACAATAAAGTCCTAGGCGGTTTTGTTGTGTCGCGTGTATGTATGGTGTGTGTGTATGGATGTATGTGTGTGCATGCATACATATATGCATAACATATATATATGCCGCAACATATATATATATATATATATATATGCCTATTCATTTTCACGTTTACGGTGTATGCATGTACGCTTAAGCATACGAGTGTGCATTTGTCTGCACGTATGATGGCGATAGCCAGATAAGCTGCGCAAATAGATGAGATGGTAAACGTGGAAATATCATGAGTGATGCTGCCCTCTTCTAACGCTCTCACACTTACAGCACTTATCTGTCGATGACATGCATTCAGTGCTGCTTACATCACCTGCCACCGTCGTCAGATCGTTCGCTATGCGTAGCCCTCTTCAAACAATTTATGACATCAACACCATCATAACGCCGCTACGGGCATCATAATACTGCATCTCTTCGGCGAAAATAGCTTCACTAATAGAATATTGTATTCCAGCGAAACATCGCCGTGAAATACCGTTAGCATGATGTTCGTCGGATGCTTCAGTGTCCTATTTGGCAATGAAATGAACGTCAATCAGTAAAGTCTAGCAAGTGCTGTTCATTTATTGACTTTTACATCGCAAGGCATCCCACCATTCCATTTCTAGAATTACCTATGTAAACAGTTTGAGTGCACATTTTCTTCGAATATCGATAATATATTAGAATATTTCAAAATATTTAGCAGTAAATAACAAAGCTTGGTAAACTACGTTCATATAAATTTGGTAAAACGAATTGCGTACAACATAACTAAAACAGAGAAGTGGAAAAAGTACAACAGAAAGGTTCATACTTCAAACATGGCTTTGTAGTTCTTACGTGGACGTAATCGATAGAACATAGAACAGAGTGAATACGAGAGCATTTGTGACGATGGTCATGAGCAGCTTTTCGTGGTGCTTCGACTGTTTCGCGGAGTACGCACAAGAAGCTGCGCAAGACCAAGGTCTGCGCGAAGAGAAATAAGTTGGACGAGCTTGAAAGTGTCAGAGAAATGGACAGAAGAAATTTAAACGAAGAATCGCCATTATTAACACGACAGAGCGTCTAATCTCTTCCACATATCGGTCGGTTTCCCAAACCACTATCATCGACAACCCCATTCTACACAGGAACCACTTTTCGTTTGGACAAAAAGAGGGTAAAATTCAGTAGGATATCAATACGGGTCCTATTGCCAAATGAAAGAGAAAAACTTTGCAAAAATGCAGATTGGAGCTGCGGCAAAAAAGGCATATTGATGAGAAACGCATGTATGCAATAAGAAGAAAAAGACGATTTCGAAAGAATAAAACAGGTGACTGTGGAGGATACGTCTGAAACAAGAAGAAGTGAGTGAAAACAGAATGGCGCGTTTCGTCCTCTTTTTGTTCGGATGTAGTGACGGAGATGAGAGAGGTAGGAGGGCAGGGCACGGAGAGCAGGCGTTTCGCTGTGTGGTGTGTGCGCGGTATCCATGGGAGGAGAACAGTGCGGTGCATGGAAATGCCGGCACCCACTACTACCGCCGCCGCCGCCACCGCCGTCGCCGCCATCGGCGCGCCCAGCGAGCACAACACAGACGGGAGAGAGGGACGGACGAAACGCGGACAGACGGACGGGGACGGACGGATGGACGGACGGACGGCGGACGAATGGCGGACGGCGGGCTGATAGCGGACGGACGAGGACACGGACTGCTCAGCTACACGTTGCGGCTAGTTGGTAGCACACTGCGACGGCTATGAATGACGGCAACGACGACGCCGACGTCGGTGACAACGAGAGACGCAGACGGCCGCCGATGACGACGTCATCAGTGTGAGAGCACGTGTAGTGCGAGTATTCGAATTGTTGTGTACATGTAGAGTGCTGGAGGCAGTATGAATACTAACTGTTACTATAATACTCCAAAAGGGGACAACATTGCTGTACGATTACGGGCCGCCTATGTTGATGTTGTTCGTCCTGTGCGCGTTGTACAAAACAACCACTTACAGAACCAGAAAACAGACTTCGCACGAGATGCGTTCAATCAATAGCGTAGTTGGAGGTGGTAATAACACTATCCGGGATATATCGTGTGCGCTGCGCCACTGTATGTACGTTTGCGTACGAGGCAAAGATTAATGCCGAATTACTGCTGATATTCGATGGTTCGATGAATAGTATATTTGAAGAGTGTGTGTATGTGTATGTGTATATGTGTGTGTATGTGTATGTGTATGTGTATGTGTATGAGTGTTAGTGAGGACTAGAGAATAGAATAAAACGGTGAAATTATGACTCTGACTAGCGGGACGTTGGCATACTCTTTCCCAATTCAGCACTGATAAGTAGGACTAGATTATCAGGACACGACGTAACGCCATCGTGCTCAGAATTCACAACTACGACGATCTGGGGCCACAGATGCAGCAAACGAAGCATAATGTGCGTTTCGAGGCGACATCGGATTAATCCGATCGTGGCGACAGATAGGAGGGAATGTATGAATGACACCGCGATGATTCTGCCGCGACGCGACACGATAAAGCGACTGTGCAGGAGCGCATCATCCAAAGCGGACAGAATCGCGTGTCGCCAGAACTCGGTGTTATCTGACGCGAATGATGGCCTTGATATTATCTCACCTGACGTCCAGAACGAAATGCATCGTTTGCCGAGTGTTTGAGTGCGACTACGACGTCCTAACATCATGTTTAGATTGTGTTTGCGAGGTAACACAATGTCTCGTGTGCCTTCATCCGACAGGATCGCGTCGCTTGATGAGTCAACCTACCCTTTCAAAGAAAGAAGCGTGCCGAAGTTGTCAGTTGGTGACGATGAAAACACTGTAGCCAGGTGTTCTAATATAATTCATCGATTCAAGGTTGTTCACACTACTGTGCATCATCAATTTTACACTACTCCTGATTTACTCGTAATTAGCGCCTCAATTCTCCATGAACTGCACTACAAAATGTGCAATAGCGCTATATGCTAGGAATTCGAACAAAACGACTCCACAACACAGTTACGACGATTTTTTGTTGACTGCTGACTGGGTAGGTTGCACATCGTTTCTCCGAAGATAGACAACCTTTCTTAAGCTGTTGTCCAGCAGATGTTGAAGCAAGTGCAATAAAACTTGTTAGTAGTAATGCTGTCATACGAATAGTCTCAGCTATAGAAAGAGCAGTGGTTAGAATTGCCCATGTTTAGATGCAATAGCACCAACGAAACGTAGTTAACATCGAAGACATCGTCATAAATTCAAGACATTCTCAATTCGTTGTGTCATACCGGACATTTCGTTGAACACGTGACGCCGTAGCAACATTGTTAACTATGGGAAACATTGGTGAGTGTCAACAATGAATACATGACTATGCTTTCACCACGAAACAGGCATATGTTGCGCTTTTCATTATTGTTGCTCAGCTTGTTCCTGTTTATTCATTGAACTAACCAACGCTTTTACAAATTTGTTCGAATGATTTGGATTTTAGTTCTCTCATCATCAGTGACTATTTGGAAAAATGAAGAGTAGAAAAAACCCGGTCGACTCTGATTGCTGGTAACATACAAGTATACAAGTTCTCATCGAATTATGAGGTGAAAAAAGTCATAGAAGACTATAGAAGGGTGTATTCGTATTCTAACATCGTCGACAGTTTCTCTGCATTCTATGGTGAAAAACTTTTAGCTTTTTTAGGATGACTTTGTCGCTTCGAATAGTTAATGTGCTTCTCATAAGCCGATGTTATAGAATACTGCTATTCGTTTTCATACGTTCTGCTTTTGAATAAATTTCCTGAATATCAAAATGCCATGGAAGCATCACCAGGACAGAAAAAGAGAACGAAAACAATGATAAAATAAATAAGGGACTAGTACTCGTTTTGAGTAAGACATTGTAATTACTTTCCGATTATTAAAATCGTTTCATCAGGGAGAAATCTCTAATGATTGCATCGGCCGGCTGGCTGTGTACTACAATTCACACACGGTTATTGGTTGAGTTGCGAGCCCAAGCAAATTAAACCCTCAACCATTCCATGGTCAGTAGATTGATATAAGAGCTGTTTGCAAGCATATGAATACTGAACTTGTACATCGATGGCCACTCGGAAGTCACTGCATAGGCCAAATATGCGTTCAATCACCCATACGACATTTGATGGAGTGGGAATGCTTGACGTTTTCCTAAGAGGTTAAACTCTTCTAATTGCAAATGGAATAGGGAGAGCTCTATGAGATACTTCCCAAAGACGCTTCAAAATTTATTTAACCGAAGGATTCTAAATGCTATCAATACTCGAACAGTTTGATTCCTTGCCATCTTCATCTATTTCATTTCCATGCTGACGACTTTTCGCGTTTCCTTTCCTTTTTTCAACTTTAATCCTAAGAATTCAGTTGATGTGAAATAAGTGCAATGATGCAGTTATAAACGAGCAACGTGTATGAGCCATACAAGGTTCACATTGTTTCAGAATGTCATCTTTGCCACCATTTTATGTTAAAATCAGGAAGGAACTGGTGACAGCAAATTTGTTGCCAAGCACAGCCCAACTGTAATGTGTTAAAGCTAACAACATTTCTTTACACAGACAGATAAAAAATAGTTTATTTCTTCAGCATTTTTTCTGAAATACTAGTTACGATAGCTGACTCTATGCTTGTTAAACCTATTGCTTTGCTTTAAGAATAAGAATATTGTTATGCATATTCTTTCTTCGGATTATGCATGTGGGAGATCCATTACGATATTATGTGAAGATACGTTTAAAGTAGGGTCAAAATGACTGAAAAGTTCTCTTTCATACACTTCAGACCACACTTCTTTGACTTTTAAACGTTTTAATAGTGAGCGTTGACGCAGTGGTGTGATGCCATTTGTCATAAGCATGGTCCTGATCCGAACCAATCCAAGCTCATCAAGCCTGGCATCTTTCTTGAGTCGAGAATATGGTAATATATATGGAGACAGTTCACTCTCTGCAGTCTAGGTGGGGTTAGATATTCTGGCCCGGCTATCCCAAAGTTCCAGAGAAAATCGACTCTACCGGCGTTTGATAACATTTGTAACTAATTAGAAAATTTTCAAGCAGCAGCCGAACGAACACGCCAAATTACGATGAACCTCGAGGATGATGGATGCGCGGAAACGAATTGAATGCATGAAGTGATGGGCCCTGGACAATGGAAATGAAGAGAGGTCGGTGTAAAAAAAGCGCCTTATTGGAAACTGGAGGTGTCAACAACAATAGTAAAAGAGGATTCCATACAAGAACTGTCACGACCGTCGTGACCTTGATGTGAATGAGTCCACTGGTCGACTTTGGTGCACGACAGGAACGTTTGATGACTTTGTTTAAATTCACTCCATGATTAAGAGGTTTACTATAAGTGATTCAGATTGGTACAGACAGAGAAGATAATTAGTGCCTAAGGCATCACTTGTTGAAATTTTAAATGCTTATGGCAGTAATATAGCGCTTCACTTAACATATATGTGTAAAGTAATGGAGTAAAAAGTCGTGCAATCATCGTATTTTTTTTAAACTCATGTATTATTGGGAAGGTAAATCGAACCATGGGGTACGATCTGGTGAACAGTCTACCATTGTTTTAACCAATAGACCACGAGAACATTGAATTCTGCTTATATTTTGAAAATTACCCTAAAAAAAGCATTACTATATGCTTGTCATAGTAGTCATAGTTGCTATAACATAGAAATTTATTGGGATAAAGGGTACGAATCAGTAAATTGAAAGGAAAAACAGAATTTTATTGCTACAAGATACAACAAACGAAATTTAGTGAATGATAACAATATCAAGTGACTATTGACGAAAGATTTCACCGAGTTACTGGATCAGTGCTTGAGATTTAACAGAGTAACACAGGAGAGTTGAGTCGCTGAACATCGAACATCGCCACTACAGTATTTTTTTTTCCTGGTGCGCAATGTATTCGATGCAACAACGTTTCCGTGGGCTTCAGTTTTGAACTTTCTAAGGAACAAGCCCGTCGACCATCTCATTGTGCGCAATTGCCTGTACTTGATTCTTTTCAACCACCTGCTCAATGATTCGTCTCATTTGCTCAGACGATGGGAACCCAACATGCTTAAATTACTAGGCAGTCTTAAACCGCTCAGTTCGTGGTTTTAAGAAAGATCTTGGATGTAATTTCGAATTTGAAAACGTAGAGATGAGAATTTTGAAACTGAACTTTTTCAACAATGATTACGCTTTCAAACTCAAAACTTTAACCTTTACAGAGTAATAGTCGATGCAATAACTTTTAGACCCATTCCTCTGGAGTGCTTACTAGTTAGGGTGTTTTCCTCTGAAGCATACTTTCTAGCTAGGATATATGAGAACCAGTGTACCTACATCATAACTTATTTGGTATGGAGAAGAACAGTGTCTTGATTGTCAAGCTCGAATCCACTGCCTTCTTCCAAAGTAGTGTATATTTGTCAAAGTAAAGCTATTGAAGCATAAATACTTTTCAGAACATCTTGTCATTAGCAATCAACAAAATTTCTTTATGTTCCACGGTTTTAATGTATGCAGAACTCTCGAGATGACTGAGAAAATCGACATAAAACGTTGAGATGGTCCCTTTCAGCTTTTTTTCTTATGATTTCGATTTTTCACTCAATCTATTTTAGATTTCTGCCGTTCATAGAATGCTCCACAAAGATTTTGTTGACGATGATTCAATGTTTTCATGGTTTTTTGGCGATTATTAGGTTTGGAGGTGACTTATGAAAGTTTGCGACCAAAGTGAATTAACTTTTTCTTGCAATAACGTCACGTAAAATGTTAAAAGGAGCTAGTAAAACATGATGCTGGTAGAAAATCTGCTAGAAAAACGTGATCGGTCTTAGATGATTTTTCATACAAGGGTGGGCAGAGAGTAATATCCATTTGCCAGTTACAATTAGGGAAAGCGCCCCCACTCTAATGAAAGTCTACTCATGAATTCCACTCCCACTGTCCGAATTTTTGTTGTACGGAGAGCTATTATGATTGCTGAACTATTTCTGTTCCCTCGTAGCTTAATATAAATGAACGATAACTAATTTAAATTGAACAAAATTGAACTAGCTGGCTATAAATGGATCCCAGCTGTTTAGCAGTAATACACTTTGTGTACAGTCCAATGGTGCCAATGCTCACTAACAAACACATTTGCGACAGTTCTCGTCAAACAAGTGTATCACTGTTGTCGGATTTAACAGTTCTTGGATGGTGGCTTAGTGGTGGGCATGTTGCTCTAAAAAGGAATAGAAATCACTGAATAAATTGCATCGCTGTTTTTTAACGTAAAGGCACAGATAAAAAGCAAATTTCCAACAATCATATTTGTTAAATGTTAGTAACAGCGAGTTTTATCCTTTTCCATGCTCAGTCTGTTTCCGTTGATACCAAATGATATCGTATTTCGCTAAAAAGCTTGCAGTACGATAGGAAAGGGCGTGTGGAGCAGTAGCTCGAGGCGCCACTGGGACACGCACGTAGAATCGATCCCCCCGCCCATGGCTCATCAAGCCCTCCATCCCTCCGGGTCGGCAAATTGGTACCAGACTTGTGTGGGAAGATGGCAGCACTGGCTTCATACATCGGTAGGCTACTGTGAGTCATTGTCAAGGCCAGATATGCATTCAATCGCCTCCAACGATACATAATGAAGTCGAATGCGTGGCGCATCACTCAGGGATTGATCAACGCCGAGAACCTTATCCTTTTTGTCCTTCTACGATAGGAAAAAGTTGATTGTGGTCAACGTTTTATGAGGACACTAAGTAATTGGTCACTAATGTCCAGATTAAACATGGGAGAATTTTTGAAGGTACTCAGTAATAATTATGACTAGGCGCTTTGACGAAATATCAATATGACATTCAATTTCTAGTACCCCTACTAAAGTGCACTGCGTAATCTAGGCCCTAAATTTTGTTTTACATCGCCAGGTTATATTATATTCATATATGGATATTGCAGTGATAAAATTTCTTAACCGAACTCATCAACAAGAAACCTACTTTTTGCGCGCACCGTGCTTGTAACGTTGCCCTCCCATTGCACGTTTGTCTGAATCATCTCTTGGTATGTCTTATTTAGAGATCTAATTAAAACGTAAACGATAGAGACAAAACTTTTGTTTTAAGTCGCCTTGTTTCCAAAAATTGAACTTGTTAAACTGGCACCAAGTGACCACATTACTAACACTTTTTCCTCATATTTAATGATATTTCTTATAAGTCTTCACAAGCTGTAATTAGCATACGGATGGTCTGATTCCCCAAAAAACAAGCGAAAACAGCTCTGATGATTTTAAACCTAAAGAAGTGCTACTCATGCCAGCTCAAAAAGAAAAGTTTTAAGAACACCCTATTTCGCTTTCTACTGACTAGGTAAGTGAAAGACGATTTTTCAACTTTCCTTATGGATGCTTTTCTTCATTTCAGACTATGAAAAGTAAGTAATGTTGTTTCGACTTTTGTCGGGGTACCTTTCTGTAGAGAAGTGGAAATTGTGATGCTCACGTCTTCCATCATCAGCGATGGCGTGAATTCCTTTTGAGGATATCGCGTAGGGAGTGACAAGTTTCTACAATAAAAAAAACTAGTTACTATTGCAAAAGTTAATTGATGATGAAAGCAGTGAGAAGATAACAAGCTCGAAATACTAACTTCGGCTTCCTCCTTCTTCCCATTTTGCCAAATATCGTTTTAATAACGAGTTTCTGAAACGTGGGATTTAGCCATGCGTAAAGCAATGGATTTACCACGTTGTTCGACATTGCGAAGCTGAAGACACCGGAAAAGTTTGTTAAAAACTTTGATAACTATTTCTTTGCAATCGCCTCATCTTTTTTCCACACAAGCTAGCACCAATAAGTAATAGCGCTACATATACGTAGAAATTTTTATCCTTGTTTATTAGTTTCATTATTTAGTATTTTCTCGTGGCAGAAATAAAAATGAAAACCAATGGCTAGCAAATGGAGAGCTACGCACAGTGATTTCTGCTGCAGCCACGGCTTACTTGATACTTAATACTTGATTGATCCGTCTTCACTGATTATGCGGGCCCCAGAATAATCTCCATTTTTTAGAGATTTCTTGGTTAAGCCATTATGGTTTCCTGGAAGTACTGAGGTCATCTGTCCAAAGTCTGCCCCAGGTCGTTATCACCACACGCAGTTGCAGCCCTTGCGGATCTGAGCATGATTTGCTACCATGCGAGTGGTTTAATACCAGGACGCTGGTGGACACTGGTATTGGTTTACTCATAGCTAAGCTTTCTGATGAAAACGCCAGACTCCTTCTCAGCTTGGGAGACCTTGCCGTGAAAACGAATCCTCTCGCTGTACATCACTGTACATCGCAGCACGACACCCAGGAACACTTTCCAGCCACGATGAGGCGGTAAGCCGTTTGGAGGAGCCACAGCCAAAACTTAACTAGATCCAATGCCGATTTGTGCTTCCCAGATTATTTCTGTTGACGATTGACTGCTGTTGACATCATTAGGATAAAAACTGTACCAGAGAAAGGCAAGTCAGAGGTCTCAGGTGGTGCAATGTATAACACGTGAGCCCCTGGAAAAGGTAATCGTGGGTTCGAATCTGGTCTGGGGTTCGAATATTACAAATAACTAAGCCTCATTGTGGCTGTATCATACTTCGTATATTTCCGATATTTAAAAGTCAACAGTTCTGAATACCGCACTGCACTTTCCCGTGTAAAGTAACAACAATAAAACTAAACTTGAAGACTAAATGGTTATCATGGCTGCTCGTCGAATAAGTGAATTTTGTGAATTTTGTTTTTTAACATGGTAAAACGGCTTGGATTCTTTAGAAAATTAGGAAGAAACATAGCAATTGTGTGTTTATCTCGATGAACGGAATGTCCTTCGAAAAGTAGAGCTAGAAGCGTAGCCAATATAACAGCATGTTTTTCGTTCTCTGTCAACTAAAGATGAAATTTTGAATGACTAGAGACCCAAAACTGAGTAATAAAATTTTTGTGATCGTAGTGTATTGGGTCCAATAGGATTTCAAGCAAATGTGATCGAGCAGGAATTTTTTCGTACTATATACGTCCATGTATTTCTCACGTAAAAATGAATAAATGTCATGAAGTCTAATTAAGTTCAAAAAGTACATTGAAGAAGAAAAAAGGGAAAGATGAACTTTTGAAAACCACTCAGGCAAATGCGCTTTTCGGTTTGTTTGAATTTGCGCAAAATCATGTTAAAATTTGCATGATAAGGAGATTACCAGTGTGTGAACAGATTGAGGAGGTAGCTGATGTCGAGCTCTTCTCGTCCGAAGAGGCGAAAAAATGTCTGACTCTCATCGTATTCAATGATAAGCGACACAACGTTATGAGGCAGCCATGTTAATCCAAACCACACCACCATAGCGACGAGAATGTATGTTGTTCTAGAAGTGAATATATGAAGAAGATGCAAGCTTCTTTTTCGGGCAATACACTGGCCATGTCTACCCTGAAATAAAACATAAAGCGTTTGAGTGAACACAGCTTGCACGGACGGTACTTCGGATGTCAAAATCTTATCACTATTTCGCACATGTGTAACAAGTTATATTATGTGTTCTCGAATATTTGAAGTGTACAACAGAGTGGCGTGCCGCAGTGAGATTATCATAATCACGAAGCCATTTATTAATTATATTAAATAACATGGTAAGTGAGCAATTTGAAAAGATGCCAGCATTTCCACCGACTTTCACTGCATGACTGACTTCGGTTGTATTACTAGGACTACGTAACGAGTCAGTTGGTGAAGGTGGCCACGTACTTGTCCAGCTATACAAGTGACCACGGGCTATGAACTTAAAGTCTCAAGGAGGCTGACATGTGGCAAAACGCATGGGAAAGCTCTGCTAAGGTCTCAAAGGTCTGAGATCTTTGAGATGCTGCAGACTAAGAATACTATAGATGACGATTTGAACTTACAGCACGTGCGCGCCATGTTGGAAACTTGCAGACTTTATAAAGCAGGTTACAGTGGTGTTATTTCATCGCAGTGACTGTGCCGAGAGTACACCACTCTCTTGAATACGTTTATGATACTTTAGAAGAACTTTTGGCAATAAATACTCAGAGAATGACGGCGAAAGCTACTACTTGCTGAAGACAGTGGGAAGGTGCTTACTTCCATTGATTTTAAAAGAGTACCCGATGTCTATTTTATTACTTCTCAGGAATGGTGCAGTGATACTTACTTACTTGATACTTCAACGGCCCGTCCTCACTGGTAGTGCGGGCGCCAGCATAATCACCACTTTTCCGAGATTTGCTGGTTAAGTCATTGCTATTCCCTGGAAACCCGCAGTCAGTCTGGCCAAAGTCTGTCCCAGGTCTTCACGACCACACGTAGTCGCAGCCCTTATGGATCAGAGAGAGATCTGCCACCATGAAACTTTGATACCAGGATGGTGGCTGATTCTGGTATTGGTTTACTCTTAGCTAGGCTTCCTGATGGAAACGCCGGACTCCTTCTCAGCTTGGGAGACCCTGCCGGCGAGACGAATCCCGCCGCTGTACATCGCAGTCCGATACCCAGAAACACATCCCAGCCACGATGAGGCGGTAAGCCGTTGGAAGATGTGCAGTGATAAATAACAAAGTAATCTTTTCAGCATTCTAGGCTGCCTAAAGATGGAAGCGTCATGGTGGTGAAATAGTGCACCTAGCCGGAAAAAGAAAACGTCGTCATCGGATTTCGTTTATGATATTAGAGATGGACCAAACTAAACTAATCTAAACCAAACCTTGATCTTAGCCGAAATTCTGAAAAACAATGACTATTAAATTGGAGATGAACTGTTTCTCACAAAAGCAAGGACGTTTTCTTTCTCCGCTTACGCTCATGGGAAAATCACCTCTTAATACTCCAGCCGCGTCTATCTGGCTAATATGGGCTTAATGTGTCGAATATTAAGCAAAAAATGAGAGTAACTTTGAAATCTGCATCGACAGCCTTGTTTCCAAGGTTTTTTTACACTTAGCTCAAAATCTGGGAACAATGTAAATGGTATAAGAGTGAGCACTATTGAGTACTCTACGGAAAGAAAGACTGACCATGAAACTTTCACGTGATACCTAAATGTTTAGAGTGGAAGTCCGAAATTTTGACCTACTTCGGAAATCATAGTCAAAGGGACATGAAACATTCCAAAATGTTGGAAATCACGTCTGTCGGGCTCGTGATGGCATTAGTGACAGAAACGATCAACGCTTAAGACCCTGGACGAATATGTTATACCCAGGAGATGATCAGCGAGAAATTTATGAAAGTACTTGACATAATAATGAGTCATTAAATACTCAAGGTTGGGTAATTGTATGAAAGTGTTTCACGTGCGGTCAAATTTTTGCTAACGAAGAGCATCTATGGCGATAGTTCACCTGCGATTTTGCTGAGTAAGACGTTGCCGTTCTTTCTCTTGTTTATCCAGAAAAGAGTTCACCTAAAATGTTACGAAAATTCAAAGAACTCAAGTTTGAGGCACTTCGACTAATTAAGCCGTGTTATTTTTCGATAGTGTTTTAGTAATATGGCTTTCTGTGCGCACAGTACTGTGTCTTTTGAGATGGAAATCAGACTGAGGTGTTAATGAGTTCTTTCGAGAGCCGACAAACGAAGAGCAGTTTTTTCGGCAATTTCAACACACTGGGAAAAATCCTACAATACCATCAATAAGAAACGTTTGACTGCGTTCATAAAAATCGAGCATCTCAAAATTAATAGGTGTTCAGAAACTCAGTTATGATTAAAGGCTGTACCGTTCTGAACGCTATTTCATTAACGAGTGTTGTTCCGATCAACGTTTTTTATAACCAAATATTCTTAAAAATAGGACAGAGGCAATATTTTTCGATACTCACAGGTTCATTTATCTCATTGCAGGTGTCCTTCATCAGTTGCTGTGTGCGAGTTGGAAACGACTTCTCGAGTGCAACCGAACACTCGTCCATTCTTCGCAATTTTACCTAGAGGATGATTAGGGAGAAAAGGAAAAGAAAAATGAAACTAAAAGGTTTGATATACCACTGTTATCTGGAGTGCTAAATAAAACCTACTTTTGCTCTTCGATTCAGAACCACGAAAATATGTGCATAGCAAAAAGCCATTAACGTGAAAGGTAATGCAAACTGCGAGAACATCACCACCATCGTGTACAGCCGCCGTCCAAATGCCGTCGTCCATCGTTCGGTGCAGAACTTGCCGCAGACACCTTGTGACTGAGAACCGGACAAAAAGTTATTCTCAAGAAAACAATGTGCGAGAAAAAATGTCGTGTAATTTTTCTACGCCAAACTGCCAAGCTCTTCGGTCTTTCGCAGATTAATGGATCTAATCTAATTGTTCACAGATATAGTTTTCTTCTAAGGCAAGTCTTCTAAGTTTCTGACTGTTCATGCAATTTTGAGCAGAAATAAAGCAATCACGCATACACACGCTTTCATTCTTTGTGACTCTTTTTAGAAAATGTAAGTCAGTTCTTGAGCCGAAACAAAGCTCACGGTATTTCTTTGCTTCTTTGGTTGCAGAAGCGTTATTAAGAGAACGCCGTTATACCAATTTCCACTCACAGAGAAGTCGACCATCTCCATGTTGAAGGCGTATGGAAGAGTAACAACGAACGACAATGTCCAGAGAATTAATGTTGCAATCAATGCTCCTCGTCGACTTAAAGGTTTCGTATGTGGCTTGACGACCTATTGTGCTCATTTAATGCTGTGCTTTCCGTAACAATGTATTGAGAATTGAAAAAAGAAAAGCATCAACGCTTTTTTTTATCTGATTACTTTTTAGTAAATTTTGCTGAACTTACCAAAATATACCTATCGACTGCAATCGCTCCTAAGCTGAACGTGCATATGAATATGCTCACACCTATAATCAGAATAATTGAACCCTTCGCGAGCCAGTCATTCATGTTACCGTCATTTGACTCCAAGATTTATAATGATTTCAACAATCTAAAACAATTCTCCATGTGCTTCTTCGTCATAATGATGTTTGTGAGAATAGAAACATCGATCGGATGTGCGTTGGAAGATGTTGAACGTGATTCGAAAGCTTCTACTGTTATCCTTAATATTTTACTGCTTTGTCGTAGCCACGGCACGTTTACTGGACGTCGAACTGCGATATGCAGCAGTCAGGGACCACTGCAACATCGAAGGTCTGAAGGATTTCAACATTGCAAACGAAAACTGGGATTACAGTAGTCTTCTGTCACAGCAGAATCCGACGAGTTACTCGTGACTATTTCTTCACTGTGAAGGGCTTAAAAAAGCCCATTAAGCCAAACATATAACGATTTTTGCCCGGGTTCTTGATTGGGCAACGTGACGCTGAGCGGCTCTGGTGCTCACTAGGAATATGTTCAGCCTATTCGTGCCCGCTCAGTTCTCCAAAAATGTAGGGCAACTACAGGAGGCAGATTACTTTTGCAAATCCGGAGTTTTCGAAGTTATACAGTATCCGCTTTTATTTTGGATAAGTTTTAAGTTACTTAATACGCTGTATCGGTTAGACACTTACCCTGAACACATGGAATAAGATGGCATAAAACATTTCCAAAGTACCAGTTTTTATAAATATTTGTTACCGGTGTAATGGGCAGAGATAACAGGCACATTATGACATCACTAGCAGCCAGATTTAATATGAACATGTTTTGAACGCTCTGAAATAAAATAACTGGATTCATTTCGCTAATACGTATCCCTAATAATTGTTAGGGTTCACGGACTGTAAAATTGCTCATGGAACAGAAAGAACAGCCTTCTTCTTTTTGATGGCGAGCATTGTTATAATAATTTCAGAGTGTATTCTTCTAACTTCATCAGTGAAAAAGATTTAATTAGACTGCGTTTTTGAAAATTCCTTTTTGATGAATTCCTGCCCCTGTTTTCACCGTTTGGAACTGGGAACAATCGCTATACGACTGTCGTTCTTACGAGAAACGTGTGCTTAAATGAAATGCTGTTTCTAGCCTTGTTATATTCTACGTAGTGTTTAGTGAATGAACACGACGCTTCCTCATCTAATCAACTAATTTCACATAGGTTTTGTTATTACTCACAGTTTCAAAGCAGTTCCATTCTAAGATAATATTTATCTTACTAACCCTATAGATTTCTTGTGGTTAGACGCACTAATATAAAGATGAAACAGTTACAAATCTTATTAGGAAGGACATATAAACTCTCCAAAAAGTTGAAAAGTTTTCGTTTTTCATGTTCCCTTCGATGGAACGGCATGTTGAAGAGCAAATGAAAATCTTTAGTCGACTCACCTGCAAAACTTTGTTCTTCATTGTAACAATAATAAGTATAATATTGCCAGCGAGTCCCAATATAAAGAAAATCAAGTATATCACGGAAAATGGAACAATGGCGTACAAAGATGATGATGGATCGGGAAATACTAGATAGTAAACTGAGCACGTCTCCTCCATGTTAATGCTGAAGGAGTATCTACTAAGAAAGCCAATTTGTCATAAATCATCAGAAATTGAGAATCTCTTCGAACTCTTTACTTTTTTCCACTTATCAAGTAGCATAACGAACAACTTGATTCTAAAGAAGAAAAAGAAAAAAGAGTGAAGGAAAGAGTGGTAAGTGACTGCGTGAAATTGTTTCTAGATTTTTATCACTGGGGAACCTATTCCCAATAAACTGAGGTGAAAAACATGAAACACCAACAGCGTTTCTCGCTAAGGTGCTTTGAAATGTGGTAATTCATGAAGATTTTGGAAAAAAGGCAGATAAGTATGCAAGGAAAAAAGAAAGACAAGATAATTAGCCTGGTCAGACCGATATAATTGATAGTTAAGCCAGTTTTCGTGCTTGAAGGCTTCGACATGACTCCGCTCTCATTACAATTTCGACAATGGCTGCACTTGGAAGATAACTCAGCTTTGCGTCAACATTATTTCTTAACGTGAAAATTCAATAAGTGTGAAACTTACGTACTACCTCATTCCGACACAAGCAACGACTCCTCTCAACACACTCACGTTCGTTAAACTCGATCTGCTTCAGATGCCTCCATACTAATCCCTCATTTACATTGAGCATGAAGTCGTAATTAAATTCGTAGGAACTGCAAACACCACAATTATTATTCCAAACGAAATGATACCGCACAAGATCATCCATGTTTTGCGATACATATATGAATTTAACTAAAGTATTATTTAATAAATCAAAACAGAAATGGTGAGTAGTAAGATGAGCACGATACGCAGTGCAAGAGATTAACAGCTGATGGCAGACGATTAATGATTAACCAAAGGAGACTTTGTTCTCACAGTACTCCAGGCAGCAAAAGTGACAATGATGTCCACAGCATGAAAGATGACACATCGGAAGAGATTGCTGGAGCCTTTTCGCTTATGGGGACACTACTGCAGGATGTAGTATGCCGTCGTGAAGGCTAGCCATAGGATACTCTTTAAATCATCTATTCCAATAAACCGTCTTTTGAAAATGGTCTCCTTATGGTAGATTCCGAAAAAGGGGAAATCTCCGATTTTTTCCTGGGTAAGCTCTAAAGATGGTGTCTGTTTTTTCACCTTGCGATTCCATTCTATTTAAAAGCTGTTTTCTCTGCATTATTGCTCCCTTAGTGTTTCTGATGTTTCTAAATACCGCGAATTTTTAAGGCTGGTATATTGGAGCGTTCTGTTACCCAAATATGATAACTTCATAGTGTGTTTGTTGCCTGAGCTTGCAAAGTGGTAATGATTTTAGCAGTAACGCAAGCATCCATTCGGCAATTTCATTTCATGAAAAGTGAAACCAATAGAGTTTGTGATATTTCGTTCACAAAAAAGCTGCTGAAAAATAAAAACAAATTAATGATAAGAAAGTAATGGAGAGGAATAGGTAAAGGTTTCGAAGAAATATGTTTGAAATAATGCAAAGCTGAGTTTTTGTACTTATCAAACTAGTGAAACTTTCGCACAGGCTTTTCCTGTGAACTTCGCTTGCATACGTATATATATATATATATATATATATATATATATATATATATATAAGAGAAGCGCTTCTTAAACTTCTGCAAAAATGAAAACTTTGCGAATACTGTCGAAATAAGCTCGCTGTTTGTGTTTACTGCAGCTGTGTCTATTCGTGAATTTATGTTCACGCATTTATGTATGCATGTATGCCTATATTTACTGGACAGAATCACCCATTAATGTCTTCCTCAGCACTTGCCAAAAAGATTATCAGGGATATATAAGTTGGACAAATGTTGAAACCAACTACATAAGTATATACGCTCTGAATCAGCGTTGGTCGACCAAAAAAAGCAAATTCTTCTACATCGCACTTCTAGGAAGAAATGGAGAAAGGCCCTCAGCAACAATTAACAGTCTGCTGTAAATATCATCTTTGTGAGCTTAAAAAGTTTAGAATTTTATCGTGGTGAAATAAGGCAATAATGCTGCTAAAGATGTGCAGTTTCCAATAGCCTTTATTTCATCGCTATGAACTGAGATCTGTGAAAAGCAGGTAAGGGCTTAGAATCTGCCAAAACATTCGTAAAAAAATGATTTGTGTGGCACATAAGTCTAAGTCTGCGTTTTTTGATTTGGTACTCCATCCACGTGCTCGTGGTGTAGCAATCGTTGGATCCACCGTCGTAGCAGGAATGACTGCCGTCCTAGGAGAATTGGCGCTGCAAGGAAGCAAACCTTCCTAACTTTTAAATTCTGTCGACTGTTTGTGGTGAATAGCTGCGACCGATCTAATACACCAGGATTCCAGAAAAAACACGCTCAGTGAACATTCAGAATGGAAACGAGGAAAGAACCTTAAGAATCCCAAATTCGAAATTGAACTAACACACTAATCCGACAACCTTCGTGGGCGACATACGGAGAAGGAAAGAATTGAAAGAAGTACTGAGACCTTGCTACACGTGAACACGGGGTATTTTCTTAAAAATGTGTAAGTAGCAAATTATAAAAATGTTCAAAACGGCGCAGGTACATCGGTGAAATACGTTTCTGGCCTGGCGATGCTCAGGCTGGTTTATTCTGCTATTTTTCTATGCGGAATTCTTTCTCGCCTCAACCAACCACACACTGTTCGGGTGACTTCGTTGTCGAAATTCTCAAAGGTCTTGCAAGAACTAATCCATCATGAAATAAAGCTTGGCGGATTCGGAAATTAGAAAACAAGCACAGATTATTCAAAGCTGGCCATTTCCCATCTGGAAATATTTTTAGCCAATTTCTCTAAAAATACACAAAAGACTGGTGGTTTATTTAAGTTTTGTCCACAAAAGCATGAAGGATATGTTGCTTTTATGAAAACAGGAAGGTTATTCATAATACATGTAGCCCTGTTAGTCATTAGGCAATTCAAGAAACCACGACAAGCTTTTGTGGGAAACGTCAACGTTTTCCAAAGTAGAGGTGGAGCATATTTGTTGTAGACAACACCGAGCCGCCTCCTATGTACTTCATAGTCAGTTTATTGACTTTTCTGTCGAAATAACATGAAGGTACAATCGACATATATCCAACTTCTCCCCAGCAGATGTGCATGAGCAATATTGCGTTTATAGGGCAATATAAGCCAATTCGGCGCAAAAGTTGTTGCTCGGTTCATCACCTTTTCTCAACTAACACGCATCTTGGCAAAGGCACACCGTCATCTATGGTCGTTGCTTAGCCACTGTATCGCCACAAGATTCGCTACGTGGCCTCATGATCACCCGAAGAACTAGAACACGTATAGGAATTTTTCGTAAAAGAAAGCTCATGCTTGACGAATTTGTTTGTAAAGGATTTTAGAAACTAATGTAGTGAAACAAGTGCTGGTTCTTCCAACGAGTTCTTTGAATAAGCAATAGAAAAAGGTTTAAGTGCACTAGGCGTTGATCAATCCTCGAAGGATGCGCTATATACCCGATTTTATCAACTCTCACAGAGATGGTTGAATTCCTATGCGACCTATACAACTACTTGCGGTGCTATTCCGATGTGCCATTCCAGTGCATTTATCTTTTCAAACAATGCTAGTAGCAATCCACTTACCTTGGCGAGATGGAGAACTTAGTGATCATGGGATGCGTGTTCGAACTAGCGAATAATCGAGTGTGTTGCACGGCACCTCTAACCACAGTGCTACACGCTCCATTTAGAAGAAGGTTGTGATACGGTGATTTCGAAATAGAGAAGAGAAATCTCATTTAGCCTGTATTCCTAATAAGGTTGCTGAAGGACTCGTGAAATTTTAGAACACATTGTAAACTAGAAGTTCTTTGTTAGAGGAGAAGTTAGCTAACTGTGAAATTTTTTCTGGGAAAATTTTTCGAGCCGATAAGGGCATAATTAACATAGCAGCAGCCACTCATTAGAGAAATTCTAGGTCAGTTAATCGAAAATTTCGTAAAACCTTAATAATTAAGTGTTAGAATTCCCTAATGAAAACACTGTAGTAGCTATTTTATTCACTGGAAAGTTAAATATGTTTATGTATGAAGTTGACTCACCTATCAGTTGCGCTAGCAACGAAATCTTTTCAAGCTTAAGCAGCTATTTAAGAATTGAACATCTTGGAGCAATTACTGTGTAGTCATCAGTAAAACAAGATCAAAGAATTTCATTTCCATGACACACATCTCGGTCTGACGTCGGACAGGAAAGAACCTTTTGCTGAAATAAGTGTTCTAGAGCAATCATGGAATGGACTATACTCAGCTTCTATGTTGTGCATGTCCAGATGTATGAAAATGAACGTTAGTGACACATTCCGCTTCCATGTGAGCTCTGCGTGGTTGGTCTCCACGTGACATATTCGGTGGAAAACTCACAGAAAGCAGTTAGTGTGCAGAGAAGCCATTCTGTGTTCAATACGATTGAAATCTTGGTTTAGCACTTTCTCTGTTTAGTTATGGAGGTGTTTCGATGGGTAGATTGCGGCTAACTTGATTCTTCCAAGCTCTGACTGAAAAGAAATCAACAGGAACCTCTGTTTCTTCTTGAATAAGGAATAAAATAACACTCACGCTTGCTCAACAAGAGTATAAAGAATGTGCAAATGATTTGTTGTTCTGTGATTTCTGTGTTCATTTTCACCTCTTGCAGCCAGAGCCAACCATTTCTACAGGCGATTTTGCAAAATATGCCCACCTAGAAAGTGACACGGACTACGATACACATTTTTTTAAACCGCATCCACCTACATAATTACGTCATCTCTGACGGTGATAAACGGTTTCCATTACAACATTTCTAACTACAGGTCTCCTGAGGCCTTTGAGATTGCAGTGTTCTCAATTTCTTGTTATAGACATTTGCTGTGCTGCTAACGCAAAATATCCTTGCCACATTAAGACTGCTTCTTAACAAACACAAAGCGAAAATTCTGGCAGATATGGTATTCTTTGGTCTGACTGTTTAATCCTACGCAGGTTTGGCTGTTTGGTAGACTCTTA